CTGAATCTCAGCCAGAATCTCAAACTTGCTTTGAATCTCAACCTCTACAGCTTCATTCCGAAATGTTAGATCTAAATTAACTGTAGAGAAAATGTTAGCCTTTAGTTAAGCTAATGTTAGATCTAAAACAAAAAAAGAAAGCTGCAGAGAGAGGTATTTGAGAGAGATCGAGGGAGATGGGGGCTGAGAAAATGGAAATGTTGCAAGGGCGGAGAAGTTAGGTGTGTGTTGCTGGGCATTAGAGAGAGAGAGGGAGGGGTAGAAAAGTTAAGTTTTAAATTAGGGTTGCTTGCATGGCATTAGAGAGAGAGAGAGAGAGAGAAATGGAAAAGTGGGTCAACTTTGAAGGCTAAAGGCTATCGACTAATTGGAGGGAAATGTAAAAATTTTAGAGCCATGTTCTTCTTTGTGAAAATTTTAGAGCCCATTTGAAAGTCGCAGCGACATTGTCAACAAGCTTTTTCCACAAGTTACTTCTGCCTTTTGTATTTTTAATTTATAAAATGGAATGCCATTAGATGACATCGGTGTTAGTTCCATAATATTTAAATTTCCGTCCCGGGTGGCGGTCAAGTTAATGTGTTGTCTGCGTTACCTGAACCCATGCGCTTGGCGCAATTATAATAATTTGTCAACATAGATTATCCATTACGTCCAATATTAGACCAATAAACCTCCCTTAAGCAGCCGCATAATTTATTTTTGAGGTCATCATGATTCACGGCCATGGCAAACCTTGTTGGAGATTTCAAGGATTGATTGCTCCGAAACCTCGTAATTAATTCATTAGTTAAATAATTTTTCATTAGTAAAACAATGATTGCAGTGCTACCTATAGTTAATTCTCAAGTGCGTACGTAGCCCATATCTTGATCTACAAGTATTTAATTTTAAACATATTTCACAAACTAGCCGTTTGGTAACAGTTATTCTAAAAGCGATTCATCTGTAAAAAAAAAAAAAGTGTTAAAATCAAATATATATAAAAGAAAAGTAGGGATATAATTTCCAAGAAAAACAAAATACTGTGAGAAGGATAGAAGGGTAATTTTATTGCTGCTTAGTGTTGACAATTCTCCCCTACGGCTAGATTCCTGTGAAGATTTTGAAAACAGTTATGAATCATATATATATTGAGGAAGCCTAGGCTCATTGCCCCAAGGGATGATTACCATAAAAAAAAGGGGTAATTACCACATAAAGGAATTGGGATTTCTAAGCTTGTTAGGATCATGAACTCAAATTTATTGGCGAGAGAGATTCTCAGAGAGAGGACAAGTCGGGTGAAAGTTGGGTGACAGTTGAGCAGAGGTGGGAATTAATAAGCTAATAATAAATAACAAAAATCTTATTGGACCAGATGAAATGTTTTTCTCTAAAAGGTTGGAATTAATTTTTAAATTTAATTTAATTTTTCCTTTAGACAACTCATAAAAACAAAAATACAAATTATGTTGGTTTTAAGTTTAGGGTGGACACACTCCCCAATCCAATGCTACACACAGCTTGGATCAAAAAGTTATTTTAAAAAATGACAAATTTTCCATGATCTTCGCTGGTGGCCTCAAAAATGGGAGTAGTTATATCCTACGACCGGACAGATGATATCATCTTACAGTGGTCGACTAAAGTATTAATATGTAACATGTGAGTTTAAAAAAAAAAAAAAATTAATAGTGACCATCAAAGATTCCAAAATTATCTCTACCATCTATCTAAAAAATAAATGAAACCAAACGAACCACCCGAAATAAAGTTTCCCAGAAAATTTTTAAGATAGAAAAATAATTGGAAGGCATGAATTTGAAAATTTCTTAAATAGCATTTGTTTTAGATTACGAATAGAGTAATCTAAAGTGTGAACTTAATTACGAATAAACCCTTCAATCTTAAATCATAGACAAGATTATTTCCTTTTAAAACTTGAATTATTCAAAAATTATATTAAGTTATTTAACATACAAAATAATTTTATTTTATATTTTATGTTAGTCCTAAACTCAATTCATATAAATTTATAAGTGTATTTTATAATCTAAAAAAAATATTAACTGAATAAAAATTTTTACACCGTTTCCTTTAAAAGAAAGGTATTTGATGTATTTTTATGATTGAATTTTTTTTTTCAAAATAAAAAGTATTATAAAAATTTAGAAACAAGTTTTTGTTTTCAAAGTTGGACATTTAAAATTTTTTTTTATAGATATACAATAATATTATTCATAGTGCTATCAATGGATCATATTCGGATTATGTAATCGTAAATCCTAAATTAGAACATGAAAAAAATGTATAGGGACCACTTTGCTAGACATTTCTTTAAATCCCTATCACACACAAAAAAATCCAAATTATTTAGACAAACCAAATATTTAATTGATAATCCCAGTGACCATTCTTTTAGGCTTTGTTTGGCATATTTTTTATTTATTTTATATATTAGTTTTAATTTTAAAAAATTATCTCAACACTAATTTCCCCTAATATTTTCCCATGAACTTTGGGCATTCAAATTTATTTGCAAATAAAAGAAAGGTAAAGTTTAAAATGGCATGATTTTGTTATATTTATTTCAAAATTTTATTTTCTTTTTTATTTAATTATATTTAAATTATAAAGAACTGTTTAAATATTAGTTTAATTATTATTCTTAATTTTTAACATATTTGAATTTATTAGTAGCTCAGTTTCTAAAAAACTATTTAATATTTTCATATATATATATATATATATCTTCACTCTTACCATTTTTATTTTAATTTTTTAAAATATTCAATTTTATATATATTAAATTTAGTAATTGTTTCATATATTAAAATATTCAATATTATATATAATCTATCTTCACTCTTGCATGGTGACGTGGAGCCCTAAACTCATCCAAGTTCGATCCATAATGGCAATGCGTCAACCTTCCGTAAGCAACACGATATACTATATATATTGATGAGTGCATTCTTTCTTCTATTCTAGCGATTTGGGAGATTTAACAACTGATCTGAGCCATTATAGCATATTTAGTTAAATCAAATCTTCTTTCTCCCTAGTGTTTGATGAGTAACCAATGAAAAACAGTCTTGTCACTAATTTAGCAATAGAAAATAGTTCCATTGTTAAATTAACGACGAATTATCAATGAAATGCATGGTTCTGTCACTAAATTAGCAACGAATTACCGACGAAACTTATGTTCGTCGCTAAATTAGCAACGGATTTAACGACGGACTAGTGGTTCGTTGATAATTAGCGACTGATTTAGCGATGGATTAGTCGTCCGTCGCTAAATTAGCGATGGATTTAGCGACAGATTTGTGTTCCATCGCTTAATTATCGATAGATTTAGCGAAGGATTTGGCAACAGATTAGTGGTCCATTGCTAATTTAGCGACGAATTTGTGGTCCGTCACTAAATTACCGACGGATTAGCGATGGATTGGTGCTCCGTTGCTAATTTAGCAACCGATTACCAATGGAACTTACGTCCGTCACTAAATTAGTGACGGATTGCTGACGAAGAGTTTTCCGTCACTAATTCAGCGACGGATTACTGACAGAAAATTTTTTCGTCGCTAATTTAGCGACGGATTACCGACGGAAATTTTTTCCGTCGCTGATTCAACGACGGATTACCGACAGATTGGTATCCATCACTAAATTAGCGCGACGGAATTTTTTCCGTCGCTGAATTAGCGATGAATTGGTGTCCGTTGCTGATTTAGCGACGAATTTAGCGACAGATTGGTAATCAGTTGGTAAATACATCGCTAATCCATTGCTAATCTGTCGGTAATTAGCGACGGACTATTCCATCACTGATTTTCCGTCGCTGAAACCCTGTTTTCTTGTAGTGTAATGCCCGCCACCCATCATCACTAGCCACCAACCACCACCGTCGCCCGCCACAATTGCCTACAATCACTCGCCATCCACTATTGCTGACCACTACCGTCCACCGCCAGGAAATAAAATAATATTTCAATAATTTATACATTTATTTGGTAATTTATCTAAACTTAAATTAAATTCACTAAATATAATCTAGTAATTTAAAATATTATGCAATCAAGATATCTTAGTCCAATATTACTCTACCATAAACTTATCCAATCTAACATACCAAATAAGCCTTGTAGCAAAAAAACAGAGCAAAAACCAAGAAACAAAAAACATGTTGCCTAGCCGCGGAGTTGACAGGTATAGTCGGCTATAGTCCAAGAGGCTGTTAAAGACGGGTCGTGTACTTTATTACCTGCTCGTTGAATAAGAAAGTGGGTTCCACTGCTGTGTTCACCCGTTGAGCTTCTCCCTTCGTGTGGTGGCCGTGGTGCTCCAATGTGTCGCTGTCATGGTTCCAGGAGGATGCCTTGGGGCTTTTATTATGTATAGTGAATGGTAGGACAGTAATTTCGTTTGTTGTTTTGAGTTATTTTTTGGAAACAGCAGATGATTTCAACTAGCAAAAGGCAAACTTGAAGAGGAATTAGTCGTATTTTTTCAGCGGCAGCAAAAAGATATCACATAATCCGTGTCTCGACTGGTTTCTGACAAAGTCACATGTTGATACCTTTTAAATAAAAAATCTTTGTTCCATACAGTTACTGAAAATGAGACACAACCCCGAAGCCATCAGACCTACCGTCCCTAAGAGAAACATGAAAGACCAGGAAGGCAAGCATCTCTATTCAAATAACTCATATTTTTCAGGATTATAAACACATGCAGAATAGTGCCTCCCTAGACTATGACTTGCATGTGGAGGCTGACACAGGAAAAGAAGAAAGACGAGATAATACATATGATTAAGGAAATTGGAGTAAAAAAACATTTTAAAAAAAGAAATAAAGAAAGAATAAAGAGACAAGCAGTGATGTATTTTTCAAAAAAGCCAAAATACATGGTGGAGGCCATGGTAAGCAGGCTTTACCCCTAACCTTGCTAGCAAGCCACAGAACCTCCGTCACTAGAGCAGGAACAAAGAGAAACACGGATGTAGATTTTAGTCAGTGCAGCCTTGTCAATTCTTCTACTCTCTTCATAAGCTCCTCTACTGGAACAGCCATCGCTTTTGCTATCTCTTCCATTCCACCTCGTCCTAGATCAAGAAATGACTCAATCAGATCTCCATCCAAAAAGTTTGTAGCATCTGCAGTCTTCTTTTCCGTGAAAACCGACTTCCAGAGCTCATCTTCAGTCTTCTTCTCTTCGTAAAATGACCTCCAGTGCTCATGACTCAATCCTCCAACACCCTTTATTACTTTCCTCAAGTTTGACTGGAGCTTTTCAAAGAAGAGGTACTGCTCGTGAGGGAGGAAGGCAATGACCCCAATAACACCATTATCAGTACCAAAGATTATGGTGGGAATTTGACCAGCATCAGAATCAGGCAAGCGCATGACAAGAGATCCGTGCCGGAACCGATTGACGAATTCACCAAGGTGGTACTTACCAACCACCTCTAGACGGCCTTGTTCTTCATCAGTAGCACCCTCACTATTTTTTCGGACAGTGAAGAGGTTGAAATTATCCTGTGCACCAAGGTATATGTCAGCACCAATAATCTCCACTGCTGACATCTGGTTTGCATTGGAACCACATGCTCGCTCCTCAATGGCACCCTCCTCATGCTGAAGACACCACCAAAAATAAAAAAGGTAGAAAGACACAAGAGAATTAGCAAAAAATACAGATAAAACAGCATGCAAAAAAATGTCCTGAAGCTACAAATATAAAACCAACACAATGAACAAGCAATACCCAAATGAAGGTCAAACTACAAGCTACTTTCAAGTGAAGTGATGAAAGAATAATCCACCAACGTAATGCCTATGTCTACTGTGCCTGGACTGGTTTCTTCACCTTATAGATTAACAAGGAGATTGTATTCATCTGATCACCAACAACAATAAAATCTCCAAGAGTTTGAACATAAAGTGCAGGTTTGTGTCCATGATGTCCACACTCAGACTGCAATTCCCGGCCACCATCCTCACGAAGCACCCACTTGAATAACTGAATCTTTTGATTTACAGCAGCAAGCAGCTTTCCGTTGAAGGCATTTAAAGAGTGAACAGCCCCATTAGTTTCCTTCTCAGCAATTGGCTGCAATTTCTGATCTTCAACTACAAAAACCAATATACGGCCCTGTGTAGAAAGAAATTCCAACTGGCTGCTGGACAATTTCCAGAACTTTGGTTCCATATAAACATAACAAACCTCCATGGGAAAAGTGTAGATATAAAATTAAGGCAAGTAATACAAGGAATTGAAAAATAAACTTGTATTTGATTACATAAGGATTCAATCCTCAAGAATATATATATACAACTCTTACATAAAAAGGAAAGAAATCAAATCTCCTAATCAAATCTCCTAATATCATATACAATCTGCTAATATCACACATAATTTATACAATCTCTATAAATAGAAAAAAAAAAAAATATATATATATATATATAATCCCAACACTCCCCCTCAAACTAGTACAGATATGTCATATGTATCTAACTTATTACATATATATGTCATTATTGATGCCTGGAGAGATTTAGTGAATATATCAGCTAATTGATCATTGAAGTTCACATATGAGGTGATAATTTCTCTAAAAATAATCTTTTCACAGATAAAATGATAGTCAATTTTTATGTACTTGATCTGCTCATGAAAGACTAGATTGGAGGTAATATATAACACTACCTAGTTATCACATATGAGTTTCATGGAGCCAATCTCACAAAACTTCAATTCTTGAAGGAGTTGTTTTAAGTTCACAAATAGTAAGAGCCATAGCACAATATTCTGTTTTTGCACTAAAACATGAAATGACATTTTGTTTTTTACTCTTTCATGAGATAAAATTACCTTCAACAAGAACACAATATCCAGACATTGATCTCCTACCACTAGGAGATCTTGCCCAATATGCATCTATATAAGCAATAATGTCTGTATAGCCCTTATTTTCATAAATCAACTCTTTTCTAAGAAAACCCTTCATATATCTCAAGATTCAAACCATTGCATCTCAACAACTATTACAAGGAGAGTTAAGGAATTGACTTACAACACTAACAACAAAGGATATGTCCGATTTGGTTATAGTGAGATAATTTAATTTTTCCACCAATCTCCAATATCTACTTGGTTCTAAATAAGGCTCCCATAATCTGGTAAAAGTTTGACATATAGATCTATAGAAGTATCAATTGGTTTACAATTAAGTATCCCAGTCTCTTTCAAAATGTCAAGGACATAGTTCCATTAAAATATAGAAATACTTATTTTTGATTGGGTTACTTCTATCCCAAGAAAATATCGCAATTTGCCTAGATCCTTAGTTTGGAAGTGGAGATGCAAGTGTTATTTGAGATTTTTGATGCCTTCTTGATCACCACTTGTAATAACAATATGATCTACATAGATCACAAGATAGAGGCACTAATTAGAGATCGCATGTTTGAAGAACACAAAGTGATCTGCCTCACTACGAACCATATCAAATTACTAAATGACCTTGCTAAATCTTCCAAACCATGTCCAAGGAGACTGTTCAAGGCCTTAGACTCATGTAATTTGTACATAAGACTCGACTTCTCCTAAGCAACATACCCAAGTAGTTGCTACATGTAAACCTCTTCCTTCAACTCACCATAAAGAAAGGCATTCTTAATATTCATCATAAAGGCATGTGTCACGCTCCAACTTTGAAAGTATAGAACTAGCCGAATTTAATTGAGGAAGATCATTTGGATATCAGCCATCTTGAATAAGGACCATGGGTGGGTCCTTCAATGAGGAGTTTAGCTCAAAGGTAGGAGGACATTCAAACACAAAACTTGGTCATTCAAATATAAAGCCTGGTTCAAAAGATGACTAAGGTTCAAATAAGAGATGTTCAAATGAAGGTATTGACCCCACCTAAGGGAATGCACATGAGGGACAATCAAACAAGGGTGCTAAAGTTACGTCACTTGAGAAGTTAATATGATAAAACATGTCGAGGCAAGTGAATAGGCAAATGGTGAGGGAGCAATATAATAGCCAATTAGGCAACAAGGTGAGTATTAAGATAGCAACTACTATAAGGAATCACCAGAAGTCAATGGGTCTATGGAAGAGAAAAAAGTGGTAAGTATACCACGAGGGCGATGCAGTGTGGAGCTCAACGCGATTGAGCACGAAGTTGACAATAAGAGGGTGTATCACATTGTGACTGGCTGGTGTTAGCAACTGGTTCACTATTCCAATGCTTGTTGGGCGATTTCTTTTTGGTGTTCATGTGCCCATGTAAATCCCTACAGAGTCAACTTTCTTTTGTGTACATATATTGTTCATCATTTATATAGACTGTAATTGTGTATAAAAGGCTTCAAGTATCTACAAATTTTGAGTAAAAATATACTTGGCACTCTACCAAAATCCCATCTCATCTCTTACTTGTATTTAAAGCGACTGTGAGCAAAAGAATGTCAAAAGAGAGTAAGGTTGACTTGGGCATTTAGTTGGTATCCAAGTGGCACACAAAGTTTGGAGGGCTGAAAATTATGCACAAATTTTACCCCCGTAATGCATGTATGACAGAAGGATTGAATTGTAAAATGACTATGGTAAGAAAGATCTACTTATATTTAACTTTGTCTAAGAGTCATAAAATTTGGTTGGATATCACTAACAATGTCCAAGAAAATAGTTAAAAGGATAAAGAACCTAAATAGATTTCTTCAAGAGAAGTTTAGATAAATTGATTTTAGAATAAATATCAAGCTACAAAGGAAATCTAGGAGGTAGTATGTGATCTCATTATAAGAGTAAATCTAAAATGTTCACCCATATATGGAGACTAAAAAGGCCATTTGAGATATTTTGTAAAAAGTCACAATAACATACAAGGATAATAATGAATCTTGAAAGCCTTGATTAGCACTAAACATGATCGAATTATCTTTGATATGTTTAGCTAGTTGACTGACTTAATAGTAGGTTTGCAAACTAGCTATTAACCTCTGCAAGCTAGGTTTTTCAACTTCAATATGGTAGTTGACTAATGGTTTAACGTAGTCGACTAGTTGAAGATTATGCAAGATGTATTTAATTTCATATCAGTAGGTTAGTCATCAACTAATAAAAGTTATGTCGCGTAAGCCATCATCAACTCGATAAGTTTTAAAAGTTCTTAGGTAATAAAAAAGTTAGTTGGCTAACTGAAAAGTTATTATTTGACTAATAAGTAAGTTGATTAGGAGTTATCCTATCTAACTAACATTTACAAAATATTGAGGCAAGATTAGCTTGAGTTAACTGACTAAGACCATTAGTCTACTAACCCCTTTGGGGCATATCAATTTTTCCTTATGAATGGAAACTAAATGTGTGAGCTCAGTCATTTCTGAAAATAATAGAAAGCTAAAAGGACAAAGAGATAAAGTTTCTCTTGTCACCATTTTCCTATGAAGTTATTTAAAAAAAGAGTTCTTTTACTTAAATCAAAAGTGTAAAATGTTGGTTCTTCTCCATCACTATCCTTATGAGAGCACTTTGAGCAAACTTGCTTTACTTTCTCCAAGTGAAACTTGAGTTCAACTTATGTAGGATTGAAGGTTTTCAAAGGTATTGCGTTCACTCTCTATTTGTACATCTATGCACCGTCTATTTGTCTTGTTTATCTGTAGTGGTTTTATCCTAAGGTATAAGAAAAGCTATTTTCTAACAAGATATATACACCCTCAATTAACAATACTATGTAGCTATATATGTATAATTTTCTCAGTATTGTATGAATAAAAGTGCATTTTTTTCCTACAAAATGTTTCTTGAAGAACTTGATTAACCTAATTTCTTATCTTCTTTTCAAGAATATCATGCTTATGTATGCTGTTGTTAACAACGAAATAGTGAAAAAACTTTACATGAAAAATGGTTATGTTTATGAAAGCAAGGAGGCTACATGGCAAAGATAAATTCCTAGATTGCACTACAAGAAAAAACCCTTGATTCTGATGAAAATTATCGACAGATAATTTTTCATCGGATTTTTGATAGACGGATCATTAGAAAATTGGCTCCATCCCTCGAAAAAACTATAGCTGACAGCTTTTTGGCAATCAAAGCCATCAAAAAGCTCAATTTTAAATTTAAAATTTTAAGCGCTTTTAAAAATAGATAAAAAATATTAATAAAGGTTTTTGATGGCTCATTTCTATCAGAAACTTAACAAATTGTTTTTTATTTAAAAAATATGTATGTTTTCAACAAATGTATCCCAAGAAACTTAATTAATAAGGTAATTTTTTTCTATTTAAAATGTTTCCAATTGAAAGTCACGATTGAAAACGTTAAAGTTGATTCCTACAGGTTCTTTAACAAGCCTAATTTGAAGTTACAAAATAAGGCAATTTGCTATTTTAATAAATGAAAATATACTTGGAAAGTGAGTACAAGTGGGATAGCCCTACAATAGGATAATCATTAGGTTTCTAACTGGTAAGACAGTTGAAGGTGTATCATATATGAGAACTATACGAATTTATATGAGAATTATATGAATTGGCTACTTCTCCATCTTTTTCTTTTTTTACTTTTTATTTTGTATGTTGTATATTGTGTATACATATACTGCAACTTGTACTTTTAATTTATCACCCATATATGGCAAGTCAACCAATTATGTAAGGCCTGTTCAAATCAAAGTACTTAACTCTCAAGTTTCTCCAATTTTTCATTTGTATAAATAGAATTTTTCTAACCAGTGTCCTTTCCATTGTCAAAGAATTTGAAAGGTGTTCCAAAATGATAAAAAAGAAAATTTTCTTTCCCATCCAAACACTCCTTAGATCTTATTCTCCTGCTATGGAATCTAATATTCGCAACATGTGCATATAAGCATTACTAGCTCATTTGACGTGTAAAAAACAAGTACAAATTGCTAAGATATAAGACATGTCAAAAAAACAGGACCTCCATTATTTCCACAAACTGCCATAGAAAATCCACAAAAGGTGCTTTTGACAGTATATTCCATCAGAAACTGAAAATATCCACTAGAAAATGGGTGGCATTTTGGGTTTTGAGATGAAAAATATCATTTCTGATGGCCTTCCGTTACTTCTCTTACAAAAGTTTCCCTTTCTTCCTTCTCTTCTCTCCTATTCACAGTAGTCTATTTGTTGCTCCTTGTCACCTATTGCTGTCCCCTTTTT